CACTTCATTATAGAATATAAGAACGCTATGGATTTTTGAATGTTGATTTTATATCCAGAAACTTTACTGTATTTGTTTATTGTTTCTAGTAATGTTCTTGTTGAGTCTTTAGGGTTTTCTATATAGAGAATAATATTATCCGCAAATAGTGACTGACTTCTTCCTTTCCCATTTGGATGCCTTTTATATCTTTCTTTTGCCTGATTGCACTCAATAGGTCCTCCAATGTTATATTGAATAACAGTGGTGATAGGGGACAGCTTTGTCTTATTCCTGATTTTAGAGAGAAGGTTTTCAGTTTTTCACCACTTAGTATAATGTTGGCTGAGGGTTTGTCATGTAGACATTTATTATGTTAAGGTACTTTCCTTCTATACCGATTTTGTTAAGTGATTTTATCATAAATGGATGCTGTATCCTGTCAAAGGTGTTTTCTGCATCTAATGATATGATCATATGATTCTTATTTTTTAATTCGTTTATGTGGTGTATGACATTAATTGATTTGTGTATGTTGAACCATTTTTGTGCCCCTTGGATGAAACCCATTTGATCGTGGTGTGTAATCTTTTTAATATGTTGCTGTATTTGGTTCACTAGTATCTTATTTAGGATTTTTGCATCTGCGTTCCTGAACGATATCGGTCGGTAGTTTTTGTGTGTGTGTGTTATATTTACCAGGTTTTGGTATCAGGGTAATATTGGCCTTATAAAACGAGTTTGAAAGTATTGCCTCCTCTTCGATTCTTTGGAAGAGTTTGAGGAGAATAGGTATTAAATCTTCATTGAATGTTTGGTAGAATTCACTGGTGAAGCCATCTGGTCCTGGACTTTTACTTTTTGGTAGGTTTTTGATGATTGTTTCAATTTCCATACTGCTGATCAGTCTATTTAGATTTTCCCATTCTTCTTGATTCAGTCTAGGAAGATTGTATTTTTTCTAAGTACTGGTCCATTTCTTCTAGGTTATTAAATTTGGTGTTATATACTTTTTCATAATATTTTTGTATGACCCTTTGTATTTCTGCAATGTCAGTTGTAATTTTTCCTCTTAAGTCCCTGATTTTGTTTATTTGTGTCCTTTTTTTCTTTAATGAGTCTAGCCAGGGGTTTGTCAATTTTATTAACCTTCTCTAAGAACCAGCTCTTTGTTGAATTTATTTTTTCTATTGTTTTTTTTTTTTTTTCAATTTAATTTATTTCTGCTCTAATTTTATGATTTCTTTCCTTCTGCTGACTTTAGGCTTCATTTGTTCTTCTTTTTCTAGTTTTTTAAGATGAAGCATTAGGTTGTTTATTTGGGCTCGTTCTTGTTTTTCGAGATAGACCTGTAATGATATGAACTTTCCTCTTATGACCGCTTTGCCGTGTCTCAAAAGTTTGAATATGTTGTACTATTATTATCATTTGTTTCTGTGTATCTCTTAATTTTTGTTTTTATTTCTTCTCTGACCCAGTTATTCTTCGGTAGCATGTTGTTTAATCTCCATGTATTGTGGTTCTTCCTGCTTTCTTTTTGCAAGTGATCTCTAGTTTCAGAACGTTATGATCAGGGAATATGGTTGGTATGATTTCAACCCTCTTATATTTGTTGAGGCTATTTATATGTCCAAGTATGTGATTGTGAGAATGTTCCACGTGCACTAGAGAAGAATGTATAAGCAGCTGTTTTGGGATGGAAGGCTCTGTAAATGTCAATTATGTCCAGTTGGTCTAATGTGTCATTTAGGGATGTTATTTCCTTATTGATTTTCTGTTTGGCTGTTCTGTCCATATCCAACAGTAAGATATTTAGGTCCCCTATGATAGTATTTTGGTCTGTTTCTCCCTTTAGTTCTGTTAGTAATTGTTTTATATATTTCGGGGCTTCTTGATTGGGAGCATAGATATCGTGTGTCTTCTTGGTGCATGATTCCCTTTATCATTATGAAGTGTCCCTCAGTATCTTTCTTTACCCTTTCATTTTGAAGTCTATTTCTTCTGATATTAGTACTGCTATTCCTGCTTTTCTCTGAATGCCATTTGCTTGAAATATCATTTTCTACCCTTTCACTTTGAGTCTATATTTGTCTTTGGAGCTGAGATGCGTCTTCTGGAGGCAGCATATGGTTGGGTTTTGTTTTATGATCCTTTCTGCAACTCTGTGCCTTTTTATTGGTGAGTTCAGTCCATTTACATTTAGGGTAATTATTGAAATATGAGGTGTTCTTATAGCCATTTTATCTTTTGCTTTCTGATAGCTCAGTGTTTCCATTGCTTCCATGTCCTTGTGTTTCTGTTTTCTTTATTTTGTTTGGCTTCTGTGGGTTTTCCCTCCAGTTCTTCTTGTTTTTTTGTTTTGTTTTGTTTTGTTATATACTTCAGTTCTGAACTGTGGTGTGTGGTTATCATTAAGAAAATATGTAAAGGATAGTTATATATACATAATCGTCCATTTTCTTCTGTGTGTGCCTTATATCCATTCCCCTCTGTGAATTTAGATCTTTGAATCCTCCTCTTTTCAGTCATTGTTGTCCCAATTTGTCCCTATTTATGCTGAAGGTTCATTACTATCTTGCTATAGCAATTCTCTTCTTATTATTTAACCTTATAATGCCATGTTCCTAGTAAGGGTTGCACTCCTCTGCTTCCATTTGCCTGATAGTCACCTTACTCCTAATTATGTATTTTTTTTAGTCATTTTGTTTTAGTCATTTTTTTTTTTCAGTATTTCCTGTAGTGCAGGCCTCATAGTGAAGGATTCTCTCAATTTTTGTATGTCTGGAAAGGTCTTAATTTCTCCTTCATATCTAAAGGAGAGCTTAGCTGGATACATTATTCTAGGCTGGTAGTTCTTTTCACTTAATAGTTTAAATATTTGATTCCACTCCTTTCTGGCTTGTACGGTCTGTGCTGAGAAGTCCTACGATAATCTAATGGGTTTTCCTTTATAGGTTACAGTCTTCTTTTCTGTGGCTACCCTGAGAATTCTATTTTTGTCATTGATTTTTGATAATTTTAATACAGTGTGTTTTGGTGAAGGCCTTTTTGGGTTGAGATAATTGTGTGTTCTGTTGAATTCTTGAATTTTAAGCTCCACCTCATTCCTTAGATTTGGGAAATTCTCATCAACTATTTGTCAGAAAATACTTTCTAGTCCCTGCTCCTTTTCCTTGCCTTCGGTAATGCCTATTATTCTTATGTTTCCTCTCCTGATGGTATCAGCTAGTTTTTGTATTTCTCTTTCATTATTTTTCATTCTTCAGTTTCTCTCTTCTTCCTTTTGATTTATTTCTAGATTTCTGTCTTCGTTATCACTGATCCTTTCCTCCATTTGGTTGACTCTATTTCCCAAGCTTGCTATTTCATTTTTCAGCTCTTGCAGTGTGTTCTTCATCTCCAGAAGTGCTATTTGGTTCTTTTTGAGGTTTTCAATCTCTTTGCTCTGCTCATCTAGTTGTTTTATAAATTCCTTAAATTGTTGACATGACTCATTTCGGAACTCACTGAGTATTTTCAGAAGTATCATCCTGAATTCTCTGTCATTTAAGTTGTATATTTCTATGTCCATAAGCTTATTTTCTGGAGATTTTTCTCTTTCTTTCTGAGATGCCTTGTCACCTTGGTTTTTCATGATGTTTAAAGGACTATTACTCCACCTGGGCATTAATGGAAATGTTTCTAAGAATATTTCTTTTCTTTTAATTTGTTCAGTTTGTTTGCATATAGTTGTTCATAGTAGCCTCTCCTGATCCTTTGTATTCTTGGTATCAGCTGTAATGGTTCCTTTTTCATTTAAAATTTTGTTGATTTGGGCCTCTTTCTTTTTTCCTTGCTTATTCTAGCTAAAGATTTGTCAATTTTGTTTACCTTTTCAAAGAAACTTCTTGTTTTTTGGTTATCTTGTCTGTTATTTTCCTGTTCTCTATTTCATTTCTTTCCTTCCTGCTAAATTTGGGCATTACCAGAGTAGGGACTGGCAGGAAGCAACTCACAATACTGGGGGGCTAGATAGCACTCCTGGGCTCTCTTTTCCTACTGGAGAAGCCATGTTGCTGTACTGTCTTGGGATGGGGGATTGTAGTTAATGTTTAACCATTTCTCTTACCCTTCTGAGGCAGTCTTTCCTGGTATCTGTGGTGCAAGAGGGGTATGTAAGCCTTGCCCCACCATGTTCTAGGATTCGCTCAGTGGTGTCTTGTCCTCGAATAGTTGTTAGTTTTTCTTCTTGTGATGGGGAGTAAAATCAGGAATAACCTATGTCACCATCTTGGTAACGTCATCTCTTCTCACCTTCAGTTTTGAAAGATAATTTTTCTTGAATATAAAATTATTGGTTTAAATGTTTTTTTTTTTTCCTTCTACCACTTTGACTATGCCATAGCTTTGTGTTCTAACCTTCATCCTTTCTTATAAGAAGTCAGTAGTTAATCTTATTGGGATTCACTTGTCCATGACTAGTAATTTTTCTCCTGTTTCTCCTGATTTTCTTTTTGTTTTTGGATTTCAGCAGTCTTACTATGAGGTGTCTGGACGCGGATCTCTTTGCGTTTATTCTACTTGTAATTTGTTATTTCTTTTAACCTCTTTTTAGTGTGATTAATAGAAAATTTAAAATCATTCTGTGGCATACAATATATTCTGTTGAACAGTACTGCTATACAGTAATTTTCCTAGGTGGAAATAAAAAGTTACTTTCTTCACTGGAGAGAAAAAACAGAGTTTACCATATATTTCTCTAGATAATTTAGTGATATCCTCCCTACTATTATATTATAAAATGCATAGCCAGATATAAGTATAGAATTGTTTGTGAATTAATATAACCACAGATTTCTCAGCATTCATTTATTTCTTGATAAATGTTAATAAGCAAACATTAGTGCCTAGTCCTAGTTTTATATAATAATAATATGAGAACAAATATTACATTAAATTTACCACCATATTTTCTAAGATGTAAGTAAACTCATAAGTTTTTTTTTTTAAACCTACATTACAACTTTCTTCTCTTATTTCAGCTCCCTGTTTTTGTATAAAAAACATCAAGAAAAATTTATTAATGAATATGAAACAAAACAGATTTACATACACAAAAGATATGAAGATAAGTTCTTTAAAGATCTCTTTTTTCAGCCTGAAACTAATATAACAGGAAAGCTTGCACGCTGGAAACATGTAAGTATAATTAGCTTATTACTTTTCTTTAAATATAAGATACTATAATTATAATTTATGTAGCATTAGTAAGGATTTCTTTAATCTATTTTAAATATCTTTCATTATATTGTTAATATTCTGCTTTTGATTTTCTTGATGTGAGGCAAGCCATATAACAATGTAGTATAAATGGAACTTTGTGACCACAGCTATTTTATAATTTATGCTTTGCGTATATACATATTTATCTTATTAATTATTGCAATAGATATTAATAATAATATAAAATTACTTCTTAATAGTTTAAAACATTAAGATATATTTTGTTTATTAAAGGCTGATAGTTCAACATATAGCATGACATTTATTCAGTGTTTTATGCTAAATTATGCACTGCTTTGAGGACAATGGTAATAGAAAGAAACTTATATTTATTGAGTGTCTACTATGTACCAGGCACTGTGCTAGATATTTTGCATATGGTATGTAATTTATTCTCCACAACACCATAAGTTAGATATTTTTATCTCTTTTCTATAAGTAGAGAAACTAGTATTTAGAGGTGTTAGTTAAGTTACCAAAAGCCACACAGTTAAGCAACATTTCTAGAACTTAACTCCAGGTCTTCTGACTCCAGAGTTTGTGCTTTTTTAAATCTTTAGGGTTTTGTTTTGATTTGATATTAGGTAATGGTAGAAATAAAGATGACATTGTAGTGTAGTTAACAAGAGTGAATTTTTTAAAATTTATAAAGCACTGTATTTGTGATATACACCTTCATATGTGGACCTGTTCCTGAGTAGCTTGAGCTACACATATTTGCATTATATTAATGTGATTAGAAGGGTCTACAGAAAAGGTTCAGACTGTCATTAGTCTGATTTCAATGTAATTGAGGACATGTGGTCTAAAAATAGCACAGGAATGTTCTTAAGCCTTTAAATCTCACAAGCTATCCATTGAATAAAAACAGGTTTAAAAGATAAATGTATCCTACTGAAAACTTTTATCTCATGAGCACTCAGTGCTCCAGATGATATTGTGCTTTATAAAGCTATAAAGTTCATGTGAAGTATCTTTTGCCTTCGATGTAGAGTATAAACTCACTGATTTTAGGCATATAAAAGTTTTTTTATATGCTTTATACAAAGAAGACTTTCACTGAATATAGTTGATAATCAGTTTGGATATGGATATGCTGTGTACTGATAACCAATTTAGATTTGTTGAATATACACATATTCGTATATCCATATGTACAGATATAGGTTATCTTATGGCAAATTACTATTATGTGTGCATAAATAGTAAAATATTCATACTACAAAGTTTATTTTATTTAATATCTATAAAGTTACATAGAATATATCATTGTACAATTTGGCTTCAGAAGTGTTTTCAATGTTATGAAACTTTTGGTAAAATATATTCATTATAAGGAGTTTTCTAAAGTTCTTTGATGTTATTTATAATTCTGCTAACGACATCATTGCCAATGTAATTTATTAAGAACTGTTCATATTGTAGAAATACATACATTGTCGTATTCTTTTTTATTGCTTATTGCTACCATTCATAGAATATTATAGAAGATATGTTCAGCTCAATTTCTTAAATTGAAATGAATTTTAATTATAAAATTCATCTCCAAATCTTCTGTATAAAATTGTTGTTCCATCTTCTTCTGCTGGTTTTATTTGTAGTCTCCTCTTCAGCTTACTTAGTTGATATGCTATTCTATTATTTTTGCTAATCATATATCAATACTATTATTATTTTTACTACTCACATAACTGTACTACTCTTCTGTTATTTTTACTACTCAAATATCTATACTATTTTATTATTTTTACTACTCACATATCTGGTCTTTAATGACTTGGAGTGTGGTTTATTAGAAACTATAGTGAGAACAATTGATACTATAGAGTGATTAAGAGAACCTAGGATCCAAGAAATATTGAAAGTATTAGAGAGTTGGAAAAAGAAAGGAGGTGAGAAATACCAGCATTTAATACTGTGAATTTATTAAAAAAAAAAAAAAAATGCTCTGAGCATAGTAATGGAAAGGATTAGTCAAGAATAGAATTTAAGTTTCAGTATTTAGAAAAGGTAATCAATGATTGAATCTGCTTCTGTTTTGGGATGAAATGAGTTTTGTCCAATGGTCTGAAAACTCCATATTTATGGTAACCTAAAATGAAAGAGCCAGAGGAGTGAGTTAAGTTATATTCATTTAGGAAATGTTATGCCGCAAAGCCAGAAGTCCATATAAACTACCAGATACACAACCAAAAGTCAGGAGCCATGAGGAAGGAATCTTAAAAACTTGGTCTGAATAGATGAAATTAAAAATCTTAGATAATTGCTAGGAGCATTTTTTATCCATGGCCTACAAATATTGATCAAAGAATGGTTGCTTCTCTTGTAAAATAGGCCTACATAAATATAGAATTATGGTGATAATTAGATCAGATTTTAGGGAAACTTGTCTATCATTATAATGAGTTTTAGGAGAATCTAGATACTATTATGGTGAATTTTACTGGGGTACCCAAGAATATTTGAAGTCTGCTTTGATATAGTCAATCTTTTTTCTCAAAGATTACTGAGGAAAATATACGTGCAGGGAGTAATAGCAAACAAAGCAGTTTCTAACTGGGGCTTTGGCCTAAAATTCCATTGCAAAATTTTAGTAACCTAAACTAGACTATGAGATATTCTTTTTATCTACGCCTTGTTGGCTTGAATAGTCTTTTTTTACTTATATCTTATATTGCAAAGGTAAATTTTAGAAGGGATGCAGTGTGAAAGTCACACCTACTGAGGACAAAAGGAAAGATTCAGAGAGGAAAACAATTTGCTATATATTTAGCTCAGAGGCAGCCTAGTTGTTCTCTTTCTTCCTGTCCCCACACCATCACATCTGAAGCTTCCTTATGCTGGTTTAGTCATATTTCGTTAAGAAGCAAAGAAAATATGTAAGAAGTTAGAAAGAGTGATGGCCAGGAACCTTTACTGTCCAACCTCATGGAAAGAAAGAGCAAGTCTATGTGTTGTGGTTCTTTGTCTTTGACAGCCCACCTCCTAGAATCATGGTCTAATTTTTTTCTTAGAACTTGAACAAACCCTCTTTCCTTAAGGAATGAAGATTGGAATTTCACACCCTTTGTCTTGATTCATCTTCTGGAGAAGGTGCATGTATTCTCCCCAGTTATAAAGAAAATGAGGAACGAGATGAATAAAGAATCTAATCCAGTATCTGTGGAAGGGATCTTTTTCTTGGAACCACTTATAACACATTGAATGTTCACTTCTTCTACTCCTTTATGGCATTGTATAGTTTTTGGAAAGAATGAGGAAGGAATCTTAAAAAGTGCTAAATACATTCTAAGTATTCAAAAAGATAACTATTGGAAACACCAGACATAATCTAATATGGCAGTCATCTATATTAGATTTACTTTAGAACTGCTAATTTGGTTGAATTCTAGAATATTTTATTGATTTTTCCTTTCCAAAGATTTATTTTTCTCATAACTAAAACCATGCCATGTTTTTGTAAAACAGAACAAAAATGTCCCAGATACAATCCTCTTGTGAACCCTTTCCATGAATTATTAAATATATTTTCCTGAAGGTTTGTAGTTTTATTTTTTTAATCTGATGAACTGTTTGTCTTTTAATATATTACAATTTTTTAGTAAGGGTTCAGAAATATAAACTAACTTTTAAATTATATACATATGCATGGAAAACACATGACAGCATTGCCATAAAAATATCAACATTGGTTATTTAAGTGTTAGAATGTTAGGTGATTATTTCTTTCTTTCTGACAGTTTTCTCTTTTTTTCTAATCAGAAATCATGTTTTAGATAACAAAACAAAAAAATATTTTTTTTATTGTAGATACAAAGATTTTACCTCCATTTTTTCTAACATAAATATAGAATATTGTCTTAAGGAACCTCTTTTGTATCACATTCCACATGATTATCAGTTCTCTCTTTTTTAGTTAATAAATGTTATTTTTTAGAGCACTTTCAGGTTCATAGCAAAATTAGTGAAAAGTACAGAGTTCTCATATACTCCTTGTTCTGACATATGCACAATCTCACCCACTATCAACATCCTGCACATAGTGGCACATAATCTATGAACCTAAATTGACAATTCATTATCACTCAAAGTCCATATTTTGTATTAGGGTTTCACTCTTGGTGTTGTACATTCTGTGGGTTTTGAAAAATACATAATATGTATCCACCATTAGAATGTCGTACAGAATAGTTTCATTACCCTAAAAATCTTCTGAGCTCTGCCTAGTCATCCCTCCCTCCATCAGCCCTTAGCAACCAGCAACTTTTTTACTGTCTCCATAGTTTTACCTTTTCTAGAATGTCATATAGTTGGAATTGTATGTAGCCTTTTCAAATTGACCTCTTTCACTTAGTAATGTATATTTCAGTTTCTTCCATGTCTTTTCATGACTTAATCACTCATTTCTTTTCAGCACTAGTTTATTGTCTGGATGTATTACAGTTTGTTTATTCATTCACCTATTGTGGAACATCTTGGTTACTTACATATTTTGGCAATTATAAACAAAGTTGCTGTATACTTTCATGTGCAGATTTGTGTGTGGACGTAAAATTTCATTTTGTTTAGATAAATACAAGGTGCATGAATACTGGATCATATGGTAAGAGTATGTTTGGTTTTATAAAAAAAATCCTGTCAAAACTGTCTTCCAAAGTGACTGTACCATTTTGCATTTCCATTGGCAATGACTGAGAGTTCCTGGTGCTCCACATCTTCACTGGCATTTGGTGTTGTCAGTGTTCTGGATTTTGGCCATTCTAGTAGGTGTGTAATAGTATCTCACTGTTGCTGTAATTTGCAATTCTCTAATGATGTATAATAATGATGAACATTTTTTATGTTTACCTTGCCATCTGTTTATCTTTGGTGAGGTTACTTCTCTTGTAACTATTAGAAAAATGAGACGATTTATC